TCATTTGAGAACTTAAAAGACTGAAACAGTCCTAAAGAGCATTGAATATTCATTGCTGGTTACCAATCTTCTGTCACTTGCTGAAGAATAAAATCTATAGAGGGTTTTATGTCTGAAAACCGAAATTTTTTTAGACTAGCAACAAATGCCAGGCTTTAGCACAGCAGGTTAATCACCAAGCTGCAATAAATCTTGCCAACCGGTAAGTTGACAATTCGAAGTCTGGGTCAGGGCGAGCCCAGCTTCTGCCTATCTAGCAGTTCAAAAACAAATGTGAGTAGATAAATACGAACTGTATTAAAGCAGGGAGGTATTTAAGCTCTGCGTTTGATCAGACAAGGAAGGAAGTTTACCAACAAAGAAAGCTCTTTGGCAGGGAGATGGAGCGACAGCACCCCCGGTGGCTGAAACAGGGCACAAACAGTGGGTTAATTCTTACTTTTTTTACATTTCAAAAAGTTGAATTCAAGCGTCCCCTTAGGCTGGTTTTCTTGGTTGCATTTTTTTATGAATTTGCCCTTTTAAAAAAATAGTTGCTGTAAAATAAAATGTGAGTATCTGTTCCCAAAGGAGTTATCACATAACTTCTAACATCTTGAGTACAGGGCCAAGTTTTGTAGTGAAATTGAATATTTCTTAAATGTGTGTTAAAACCAATAGCATCCACCACAAGCTGCAGTCTGCAACAGGGAACCAATTTCTAAGTCCAGAAGCAAATATAAAAAATAGTATACTGTTCTTCCCTGTGGTTACAAATCTCCTGCCTGCCACCACTAACAAAATTTTATAAAGTATTTCCAAATAATATTACATTTATTAAACTTTAAAATATAATTTAAAATATAAATTTGTTAATTCTTCCTATGTATGGAAACTTTGGGAACACTTTATAAGATGTATAGTCCAAAACATTTCTGCTGACTCCCAACCTCTCCTGTGCATTGATTCCTTTCATACCAACACCGTCCAAAATAAAGCCAACAACCCTAAATTGGTTGCCTAACAATAAATCTCAAGAAACTGTTATGTAGTGTGTTGAACCAAAGAAACCTATTAAGGGTAATTTACACTCATTCAGCATCAGAAGAATGCCATTGCAAACTCTGTCTCAACAGTATACCTTCAGAGTCAAGTGAATGGGGCCAAGAAAACCTCATGATGGGTTTGCCTTAGGGTCTCCATAAGTCGGAGATATTTATTTATTTATTTATCATGTCAGGAGCAAACCAAAACAGTTGTATTGCATTTTTTAACTAACGGACAAACAAACAAACAAACAAAATACAGAGTTTGCAAGCTTGATTAGATGTCCTTTGACCAGTAGCTGGCCACTTGGAGTGCCTCTGGTGTTGTCGCAAGAAGGTCCTCCATTGTGCATGTAGCAGGGCTCAGGTTGCATTGCAGCAGGTGGTCTGTAGTTTGCTCTTCTCCACACTCACATGTTGTGGATTCCACTTTGTAGCAACATTCTTGAGGTTGGCTCTGCATCTCATGGTACCAGAGCACAGTCTGTTCAACGCCTTCCAAGTCGCCCAGTTTTCTGTGTGCCCAGGGAAGAGTCTCTCATTTGGTATCGGCCATTGATTGAGGTTCTAGGTTTTAGCCTGCCACTTTTGGACTCTTGCTTGCTGAGGTGTTCCAGCGAGTGTCTCTGTAGATCTTAGAAAACTATTTCTTGATTTAAGTCATTGACGTGCTGGCTGATACCCAAACAGGGGATGAGCTGGAGATGTCACTGCCTTGGTCCTTTCACTATTGGCTGCTACTTCCCAGCGGATGTCAGGTGGTGCGATACCGGCTAAACAGTGTAATTTCTCCAGTGGTGTAGGGCACAGACACCCGTGATAATGCGGCATGTGTCATTAAGAGCCACACCTACTGTTTTAGTGTGGTGAGATGTGTTCCACACTGGGCATGCATACTCAGCAGCAGAGTAGCAAGCGCAAGGGCAGATGTCTTCACTGTGTCGGTGATGACTTGAAGGCACACACTAACAGCAAAGAATAAATCTTATCAAACTCTTGAGCAGACCTGCATAATATAATATCTGTTCATATGCAATGAACTCTTCCCCCTCTGCTTCTCCCCCAATTCTCCCACTCTCTTGTTCTGCCCCATTCACTTGACTCAGTTTGCTGAAGTCATTGATGAGTTAAAAAAATTGCTGGATGCAGGGTGGGAAAGATGAGTGGCTGCTGCTGAAGCTGCTAACAGATGGGCAGTTAGGCATATAAATAGATGGATGAGTGAGGCAGATAGGCTATTGTGCTGTTTGTGATGCAGCTAAACCTAAACTGGCCAAAAGACAATTACTTAGCATCTTTTTCATCTGCCATATGCCCTACTTCTCCTTCCTGATTGATAGAAGGCAAATTAGTGCCCCTGCTGTATGATATTCGTTTTTCAGATGAGAAAGGGGAGGCAAAGGGCATCTTTTCTCATAAAATAAAATTGTGGCAGCAACACAATTAAGATGAATATGCTAAGAAACTCAAAAAGTTATGTTGATTCTAGCTGCTTTTGCTCACGCTTTTATGGAGTGAGGATAGTTGTTTTGTCTAGTTGTTCATTCATTATTCCAATATTATGTCACTGCTTCCTGTTTTGATGTTATTTATGGGAATGGATGACTTTTTCTGTTTTTTCTGTCTTGGAAATTTATGCACACTGAAAATGATAAAATTTCCATCTGTTTTTAAATATTAGATATAATATTTAAAGAGCTTTTCCTTGTTATGCATGGTTATTTTCTGACACTTGATTTGTGCACATGTCAGCAATTTGCCTCCATACTGTAAATTAGACTTCGGGACAATCTGTGCAGGAAAGGATAAATTAGCAGAAACCTGACTTTTAAGAGCAGCACTGCTTGAAAGTGTTTGGCAGTCACTTCTTTTCTCAAGGAGGTTTTCATTAAGGAAAAAAAAGCAAATGACTATTGGAAAGAGGAACAGCTAAATCGGTATACCTTCACAAAATTTCAGTGCATTTGTAGAAGGGGTTGGGCATGAACATAGATAGTGAATGCTTGGCACGCTGGGGGCTTTGTTATTGGGTTCCATGATAGTTGATAGTTGAGCTTGCAACAAGGATTCTCCACTTCGTCCACTTTGAAGGAATTCACTTTTTAGTCATTAAAATGTACTTCTTTGAACTCACAAATAGCAGCCCAGCTGCTTCAGAGACATTTTAAAAAATCTCACAGAAGTTTTTGAAGGTTTGAGGCTGGTATCACAGTTTGTAAAATTTTGTATCCCTGTACTGGATGGGGTTGCACTCTCCCTGAAGACGTAGATTCGCAGCTTGGGAGTGATCCTAGACTCATCGCTGAGCCTGGAACCCCAAGTTTCGGCAGTGGTTAGGGGAGCTTTTGCACAATTAAACCTTGTTCCAGCTGCGCCCGTACCTTGGAAAGCCTGACTTGGTCACGGTGGTCCACACTCTAGTTACACCCTGGTTAGATTACTGCAACGTGCTCTACCTGGGGCTCCCTTTGAGAACTGTTTGGAAGCTTCAACTAGTCCAACGAGTGGCAGCAAGATTGCTCACCAGAGCTGCATACAGGGAGCATACCAACCTACTGTTACATCAGCTCCACTGGCTGCTGATTTGCTACCGAGCACAATTCAAAGTGCTTGTTATGGCCTATAAAGTCCTAAACCGTTCCGGCCCAGCTTACTTGTCTGAACGTATCTCCCTCTATGACCCTCCTTGGAGACTAAGATCATTGAGAGAGGCCCTGCTCTCAATCCCACCATCCTCCCAAGCGTGGCTGGTGGGTACAAGAGACACGGCCTTCTCAGTGATGGCCCCCTGGTTGTGGAACACTAATGAAATCAGATCTGCCCCCTCCCTCCTATCCTTTAAGGGGAAAAAAAACTTAAAACTTGGTTTTGGAACCAAGCATTCGAGTAGAAGGCGCAGCAATAATAATGAGAATGATGTATTGGACTGACAATGGACTGACCTGGATTATGACTTGAGCTTGTGTGCTTTTAATTGGTTGTTTTATATTTGATATTTTAGCTATTGTTTTAAATGTAAATTGTTACTATAATTATCTTTGTTTGGGCATCTAATGGTTGCCGATTGTAAAGCTGCCCTTAGTCCCCTTCTGAGGGTGAGAAGGATGGGATACAAATGTATGAAATAAATAAATAAATAAATAAAAAAAATCCCACTTATTACTGCTTTATTATTGCTGAACAACATAATGTTATATATTATACATTGATAGTTTTAACATTACAGCCATCTGTCTAACTAACTAGAAATCTACAGAAGCTAGTGAAATGAATAGTCTTCCAAACTCCTTGCCATTTTTGGGGGTTTTTTTCTATTGTGTACAGTGGTGCTATTACCAATTGATGAGGAAAATATACCGGTATGTACATTTTGTAAAAATCAGATTGTGGAGTTTGTTTCCAAAAGGGTTCCAAAAAGATTAATAATGAGTTATATAGGTGGCTGCACATTGTTGACTAGGAGTGGAATATTATGTAGAGTTAAGAAATATCAAAGTATATCAAATCACTTTGGTACAGGGCTTGGGAAATTGCATTTTATAGCAAAATCATGCATATCCTCCGCACGTTTTTTTTCCAATTCCTGTAAAATTTGTTCAGATGGATTTTTTACCTTATGGAAACAAGCTCCGCAATTACTGGTTGCACTTTGACAAAAGTAACAAAAGTGTCCAAGTGTCAGCAAGACTGAACCAAAAGGGAAGGTAGCCAATACCATGTGGCCACAGTGAGGCAGTGGGATGAGGATGAGGAAAATCAGTGGATGCTAGAAAGACTCCTTGGTCCTAGGAGAGTTCATAAATTTGCTTGTCCATCCTGTTATGAGTTATGACTGAAAATAGGTAATGGTATGTGTAAATAAATTTGAACTTAAGTTACTACAGTTCTTTCACTTACTCCTCTTTTTTAATAGATACACATGTAGGAGTACTAGTCAACAATTTCCCTCATTCTCCTCCCATTTCTTTTCAACAGAAAATACATTTTGCAGTGGTGATCATGTGTCGTGGCACAGTCCATTGGACAACAGTGAGTCTAGGATCCAGCATATGCTTCTAACTGAAGATCCTCAAATGCAACCAGTTCAGACACCATTTGGGGTTGTTACATTTCTGCAGGTACAGTAAACGAACTGATTTTCTAATCATTGTCTTCAAATGATAATCTTACAGTATGTACTCAAATTAGTAATTGTGGGTCTGTAGTTTCATTTCATTCTCTTAGAAAATTATTAATATTGGATCACATTTTCCTTTACATGTAATTATATAGGTGGCTGAAAGCTGGCAAAAGTTTGTCATAATTCTGAATGTAAAATTAGTCTCACATTGTACACTATTATGGCAGATTTAGGTTGATCTAGGTGTCCTTTTCATAATTTCAATTTTATCAATTCCTGGGAAAATGGGTAAAAGCCTTTGAGAGTGCTGTGTAAATACTTATTACAGGTTTAGGAATTTTTTATATTGTTGACAGTTATATTACATTCAGGCTTTTGTCATTCGTGAATTATACTGTCTTGTATTCTACTTTCCAAGATTTTTTTTCTTGCCTTCTTCAATTAAATAAGGATATTATTTTTGTGATATTAGTATTCACGAAATGGCAGATTGTGTGAAGGATTTCTCCCCATTTTTTGATTTTAGATATGTGTATACACTCAGCCCTTAAAAACTATAGTGTTATCTCATAGCATTTTCACATTTAAATCTTCAAGAAATCAACAAAAATACAAAACTAGTATCAATAATTCAACTACTATTGTTTTCAAATCAGTAATCAAATTTAGCAGATATTAAAATTTGGCCATTTAAAAACACAGGCTAACTTTTGTTAAGTGAAAGCCATTATCCAAGGCAATTGGTGTTTACTATTGCAGCCTAGCTTGATGTATCCATGTCACATCGCATTGGAAACTTGTTTAACTTCAAAATAATTTATTGGCTTCCATTGCACCAGCAATGCACTCAGTAAACAGTTGGCTTTGTGTATTATTCCATACAAGATAATCTAGTCAGCAAACTGAAGCAAGGCAGGCACCAGTTTGTTGCTTCATCTCTGTAGTTTGGTTGTCAAACTCAGCTTGCCAAAACAAATGAGAAGCATGTATGTTATCTGCATCCTGGTCTATATTGGTCATCTTCCTGCTGATGAAAAATCAAATGTATCCTGGGGAGGGGGTGGTGTCACAATCCCTCTTGGACTTTATGGTCTTTAGTTCTGGGTTATTGTTTGCCATTATAGCCAGACTGGAAAGCTGTAGTTGATGTTGATTTCCAAATCATGGCTTGAAAAGGGATTTGAAACCATCTCATCTAACCATGTTTTGGTCATTCATGCTAATCATAGCTTCTGTTGTTAGGAAACATAGACGTGAAGCAAAGATTTGGCAGGTAGAAAGGAAGAAAAGGAAAGGATTGAAGGAATGATTCACTGTCATATATTTGATCATCTGAATCTACTGAGATGAATTAGACATAATGTAAAATTATTGTTTGATAGTATGCAAACAGCAGTGAAGAGCATCATGTGTTCCCCTTTTTATTCCACTTTCCCCATCTTCAATAATATGGAATCTGTGGGTCCAGTACTGATTTTAAGTAAATCATTGTTTCCTACTTTGCCTAACCACTGAACTTTGGTTAGGTGGAGAGGACAAGGCCAGAATTCTAAAAGAAATTGTGAATGCAACATGCCAGTCCAAGAAAGGCATCTGGCTGAGTACCAAAATACTTAATCTATTTAAGTAATATTCACTCTGTGTGGACATGACATTTCTGGAAGAAAAGTATGCTGAATATTAAAGTTGCACGATGACAATGTCTGAACTATTAAGTAGTTTCTGCTGCATGTGCATTTATTCAAATCGTTATAATCTAAAGCAGAGGTGGAGAAAATGTTGCGGGCTGGGAAGTGTTTTTGTTATTTTGAGGGTCCAAATTGTAGGAATCTCATATTTTGGTCGGTTATTGCAATTAAAACTGTATTCTCCTCACTTCCAGATATCTGGAAATATCAATTTGGCCTTGTGGTGGTGAGGAAATAGCCCTGGCTCCCTCCATAGTAATTCACTTTCATCTAATATAATAGGGCCCCTTTTAAATCTAGCCTGCAATGTATGCCTGGGATGTATATTAGAGGTGACTACCGTCTCATCCTTTTCTTCCTGTTTAGATTGTTGGGGTCTGCACTGAGGAACTTCACGCAGCGCAACAGTGGAATGGGCAGGGAATATTAGAACTTCTGCGGACAGTTCCTGTGTAAGTATAGCAGCTTCAGACGACTTGGAAACCATGTGGTAACCACTTAAGAAAGAACATTACTCAATATTAAATACAGACATATCATCAAATGTTCTAAATTCCAGAGTTAGGATGTATTATGAAACCAGGTGTCCATGTATGTATTTATTTTGTTCTGGTTTCATGTTGTCACCTGAATTTGCAGTATTTTCAGTCAGCGTTTGTGAAGAATTGATAAAAATAAGTCTCAGGATAGCTGAGTATAATGATACCAGCCTCATACTATATCAAAATAGACCAACAATTATACTTCATAAGGTAAAACACATAGAAGGACCTCCTCAGATAACAAACAAATTTGTTGTAGTATCATTATTCCCTAAAATATGATTGTTGGAATATACAAGAAGGCTTAATTAGTTATAGTATAAGACTGGAAACTGCCTGCAAGATTTGTCTGTCTCCTGTTTTCCAGTAATCGTTTTGTTGTGTGTACAACCTACTTTTGGGGCCCCTGGTAGCACAGTGGGTAAAAGCGCTGAGCTGCTTAGCTTGTTAACCGAAAGGTTGCAGGTTCAAATCCAGGGAGCGGCGTGAGCTTCCGCTGACAGCCCCAGCTTCTGCCAAACTAGCAGTTCGAAAACATGCAAGTGTGAGTAGATCAATAGGTACCGCTCCGGCGGGAAGGTAAAGGCGCTCCATGCTGTCATGCCAGCCACATGATCTTGTGGGTGTCTACAGACAACGCCAGCTCTTTGGCTTTGAAATTGAGATGAACACCACACTCCAGAGTCTGACAAGACTGGACTCAATGTCAGGGGAAAACCTTTACCTTACCTTACAATCTACTTTAAGACTCTCCGTATTGGAAGTGTAGTTCCTGTGTAAAAATCCTCAAGTAAATAAACTGAGAAAAGGTGGCATAGGTTGAATATCCCTTATCCAGAAAATCTAAAATCCAAAACACTTCTCTTTCCAAGCATTTCAGATAGTTGATACTCAGCCTGTACTGAGTCGTGAGCACAAAATCTCAGGAAACAAGAGAAACATTAGAATACTTCAGTATATTTTACTTTAGACAAACAAATATTAATTGGTCAATAGCTGTTGCTTTCCTTTAAAAGCAAGTTTCATTTTAATTACTAGTCCTAGGAAGGTATTTCTTCCAAAGTATGAGGTTCTGATTTAATACAGTCCCCTCCATCCATACAAGTTATAGGATTTGGTGCTATTTAGCACTTTCAGACCTCAGAAGAAGCAGCACTGTATGAAGATTATCTGGAAAACATATAAGACTTATCATATATAATATAATTCTAGGTCATCCTCCCTTTATAGGGAATTAAATTTTCCTAGTTACATGAACAATGAAAATATGACAGCAAATAAAGAACAACGCTAAAAAAAAACCCAAGGAAATTCCAGAGAAGAAACCATCAGGGCCAGCAAACACTTCCCAACAAAGAATGCCTCCAGGCAGGAAGCAGCCAGGCTTTGAAGCTGCAATGCTAATCATGGTTGCCAATTGCAACTCTCTCCAACAGAAGAGAGTTCTTTCTCCCATCCTGGACTTTCCATAGATATATTAAACCTCACTTGCCTAGTTTCCAACAGACCTCACAACCTCTAAGGATGCCTGCCATAGGTGTGGGCGAAACGTCAGGAGAGAACACTTCTGGAACATCCCAGCAACCCAATAAAATATTTTGCTAATTTCAAATAAGGGAGCAATTTATATTGAGGAAACATAAATCCCATCCATAAACGTTGTTATGTTCCAATCTATTATCTACTATTCATTTCATTGACTTGCTGTAAATATTTTTTCTCCAAGTATCGGGAACAATGGGTTGGTTCTTTCATCTGTCTCTTGTATATGTACCTTCAGGTTCCCTTTCAGCTTATGGCAACTGCATGAATTTTATAAGACTTCCTTAGGCAAGGAATATTCAGAGATGATTTTGCTATAACATACAGAACCTGGTATTTGTTGATGGTATCCCATCCAAGTACTAACCAAACCTGACACTGCTTTGCATCAAAGATCAAATGCCAATCTGGTGCGTTAGGTAGTTAGGCTTTTGTTCACTTTCTGTTGGAAAAAATATTTTATTCTGTAAACATGTATTTTTTATCAGTATCTTGAATGTATGAACATAAGTTCTTATTGTTTCTTCCTTCTGGCCTTCATTGCATCCTAGACAACTTGCAAGAGCGATAGTAACACTTACTGTTTGGTTTTGTGCATTTATAGAGCTGGAGGCCCATGGTTAATAACAGATATGCGACGTGGAGAGACAATATTTGAAATAGATCCACATCTGCAAGTATGTTTTAACTACTCCAGTCTGTTACTTTTTTTTAAGATAGCTGATAGTTCTTTTCCTTGTTGTAGTGAACAGCTCAATTCTCTTCCCTGAAAGTTCTCAGCACCTTGCAAGAGCTTGAAATAAAAATCCTTGGGTTCATAGTATCTGGAGATAAGCTTTTAAATAACCGAGGGAGTGCTTGGCTTCGCTGAATACATTTCAGCTGTTTACATTGGGTGCGTTGCAATAGCTAATTGTTCTGTTCTCAAACATATCAGAGCAGCTCACACTCTCCATTGCCTGGGACAGGAAGCAAAGTGCTACTCTCTATCCTGCAATCCCACAAGGAAAGGAAGAGAACCTGTCAGTTTTGCAGAAATTTAACATGTGCAGTCTTTTCCTGCTGTGTACAGAGAAGACAATTCTAGTTAAATCGACCAACAGGTCCATTAAAGATATGGAACGCTCTGTGAATCTAGCAGCCTAAGTTGGAATTTACCTCAAGCATGCCAAACATTGAATCATATTTGATGAACACAGCAGAGAAAGAAGTTTCCTAAATGCAGTCCTGAGAAAACATGTGTGTTTGTATTTGGATGTGAAAAAAACAAAAACAGAACCTGAATGAATGTTCTCTGTTTTTACATTATTTATAACTACATATATGAGGCTTAGCTTAATACCACCATCTAGTGGTAGGTGTTGGAAGTAGAGACAAGTAATTTTCTTCAATTACACACTATTTGTAAGAATGGGTAACTTTTGTATGATGCAGGAGAGTTATTTTCTAATTTTAGGTTTGAAGTCAGGAAAATCACTAAGGAGCGGATTGTGTTTTTTATCTCACAAAAGAACTGAACATTGCAAAAAAGGAAGAAATTTATTGTGATTTTGAAAATGAAGCACATTGAAAGAATGAACTGTGGCTAATTCATTAGAACCCATTTTTCATTCAACACTTTGTAATTTACCGTATATACTTCAGTATAAGCCGACCTGAATATAAGCCAAGACACCTAATTTGACCTCAAAACACTAGGAAAATATATTGACTCGAGTATAAGCCGAGGGTGGGAAATGCAGGTGCAAATGGTAAATTTCAAAATAAAAATAGATACTAATAAAATTACATTAATTGAGGCATCAGTAGGTGAAATGTTTTTAATATTTACATAAAGCTGTAATTTAAAATAAGACTTTCCAATTCTGATTAAACCATCATTTTAACCTTCTTCAATGTAAATGTCCTTATGTACCTTTCCAATAATAATAATACAGTAAAATAATAAATGTAACAATGGAGTAAAATAATAACTATAATAACATTAACAATAGAGCATAATAATAATAATAGAGTAATAAATGTAATAAAATAATAATAGAGTAAAATAATGTAAGTGTAATAATAATAATAATAATAATAATAATAATAATACATCTAATAAAAATAATACTAATTACAGAGTAAAATAATAAATAACATTGACTTGATTATAAGCTGAGGGGGGCTTTTTCAGCCTAAAAAGGGGGTGAAAAACTAGGCTTATACTCGAGTATATACAGTAGTTTTCAAGTCAAAGTTGTGGCTTAGATGGTGCACAGGAAACAATGAATAACAGTTCAATTGTCTGCATGTCTATTTGGAAATGGGCACTGCATGAGACTATATTGCCTACCGATTTGGTGTTGTATATTTTCTTTTGTGCATGTAGGAAAGTACTATAGTCCTTCATTTCTTAGCTGCTAATTGCTAACTAAATTGGAAAATGAACTGCAAGATATTGGTGTAATAGTAGGATAGGACCATAGTCTCAAAGGACTTGGCTGTTTTGAATCCTTTTAAGCAGGACAGAGTTGATAAAGGGATTGAGGCAGACGGCTCAAACCTGAGTGGTGTCAGTGCTAAATGTGCCTGGGATGATCTCAGCCGTCCACCAGAAGATGATGAAGACAGTAGAAGTATTTGCATTGGCTCACATCCCCGGCGACTGTCAGGGAAAGGTAAGAGACAATTTGATCAAGCAGTCAGAAGTTTGTTTTTTGGGCATTCCAGCTCAGTTAATACATTACATCTGGTTTAATACAATGCCTACGATGTAAGTTAATACAAAACTGGGGTTAGTTTTTCAGGAGTTCATATTTTGCTTTTGGAGCACACTGTGGCCTTCAACTGTAATCATTTTCCCAATAAAACTTGCATCACTCCTGATGAAAAAAGAAGATGGGCATTTTCCTAGGCATGTATTCTAGTGCTTGGGCAATGTCTTAAGTATGGGTTGGTTTATTTGCTTTATATAGACTTTATATATACTCTAACTTACCTTTGGAGCTGTGTAGGTAGCATGTCAGAGTACAAAGCACTGTGAAACATTTAAACAAGTATAAAATTGCAGGCAAGAGGAAAGTGGATCTCTTTTAGAATAGAGTTAAACTCAAACTACTTTCACTTTAGAGTGAAGTACTGTATGTCAGAAAACTTTGTAATTTGTGATGAATAAAACTTGTATTGAAATTGAATTGATGCTGCCCAAAAGTGTATTTTGATATGTGGAGTATTGAAAACATCATCCCCTTTTGGGAATATGCACAATAGCATACTGTAATAATACGAGTACATCCTCCAGCATTGTGTGTTTGGTCTGGCTGTAACACTGCCGCATTGAATATAAATGAATACACCCAAAACTAGCCAAAACTTTAATGTGAGAATATTCAKAGTGTAATTCACCCTAGATGATATGGCAGCTTTTTTTTTTGGGGGGGGGGGGGGACACCCCAAATTGATTTGGTTAAATTTTAAAAGTTTCCTTCTTACTTCAAATMTATAGTTTTGTCAATGATATTTAGTTTTTTCCCCCAGAAGACTGCACCATACACCATTCTTTCTTATTACAGTTTAGATTGAAGGGCAGCCACTAGACACAGTTTGCAGTTTGTCATAGCAAATCATGATCAATACCAAGCAGAAAACACAGGGGGAAGCCACATGATGGAAGAGAGCAGCGGACATCTCATTTGGGGTCTTACAGTTATTCTTTGGAAGGTCATCTGAACTAAACCTGTTTGTTTGTTTTTAATTGTTGTTATTCCAGATACAGAACAGATCCGAGAAACTCTTCGAAGGGGGCTTGAGATTAACAGCAAGCCTATTTTGCCACCAATTAATACTCAGAGACAGAATGGGCTGAACAATGACAGAGCACCGTAAGTTATGTATTGTCTTTTGGCCTTCAGGGTGAGAGAGGACAAGTAACTTCTGCATTTATCTAAATTAATTGTACAGCACTTGAAATATGTTCATAATTTTTGGAAAGAGGAATATTTTGGGCCAACTCATAATCTATAAAAGACAGAAATTTGGAGGGGGGATTTTGCAGAAGGATGGGATACTTCACATACCAGCATATGATAGCGTTCATTCAGAATTTATTTGAGAAGCCTGACTTGGCCACGGTGATCCATGCCTTGATTACATCCAAATTGGATTATTGCAATGCACTCTACGTAGGGCTGCATTTGAAGACAGCCCAGAAACTGCAATTGGTACAAAAGTCGGCAGCCAGGTTTTTAACTGGAGCTAATTATAGGGAGCGCATGACACCCCTATTTCACTGGCTTCCAGTAAATTTCCGGTCCAAATTCAAGGTGCAGGTTATGACTTCCAAAACCCTAAACAGTTCAGGCCCTGCCTATCTTCGTGATCTCATCTCCCCTTATGAACCAGCACAGACTCTAATATCTGTCTGGGAGCCCCTCCTCTCACTTCCACCACCGTCACAGGTGCGGTTGTGGCCCCATGACTTTGGAACACCCTCCCCAAAAAGATTAGGCAACCCCCCCCCCCCCCCCACCTGTCCTCCTTTCGTGGGGAACTGAAAACCTGAATGTTCCAGCTGGTTTTCGAGAACAACTAGTCACTAGTCCCAGTCCCTAGGTCATCAGATAGTATGGTGTTCTGCACTTCATCCACTTCCCTGGCCCTATGATACACTGATTGCACTACCCCTCACCTAGCCCTTTTATAGTTGATCAGGTCCTTTTAGTACTCCTGGCCATTGATATTATTCAACCTCGCCTGATGGAGCTCTAATGTAATTGGTTATTTTTTTTATTTTTAGTGAGTTTTATCAGAGTTTTTGTATTTTATGATGTTTTTATTTTTTGCTATTTTGTTTATTATGTTACAGTTAGGTTGTTCTATATGGTCTAATGTGCCTTGTCCTGACATAAATTGTTTCCATGGTTTTCTTTTGGCATTAAATGTTTGCCATATTTGTTGAAAAATGCCCAGAGTCCCTTCGGGGAGATAGGACAGTCTATAAATAAACATATTATTATTATTATTATTATTATTATTATTATTATTATTATTATTATATCATCATCCTCATCATCATCATTATCATCATCATCATCATCTGTTGACCAAGACTAATACAGTACACATGTAGGATATTTAATCTGTCTAAGATATTATCTCCCAATAACCTTTAGGCCAGGTAGGAGAATAACTGTTTATGGGTTAGATCAGTGTGTTCAGCTTTTCAGGAGTGGGTGGTTGTATTGCCCCTCCACTCAAGATCCCACCAGGGACTTAACCTTTCTCTTGTGGCCAAAAATCACTGTGGCCACTGTTTCATTGCTACTGTTCAATTGGGAAACAAGGCATGTGCAATTCGGTCACCTTGCTTCTGACAGCAGTCAGTTTAGACCATTATTCTTCTGGGAAGTAAAACATGTATTCTTCACAACAAATAATTGACTTTGAGCACCTTGTAGAAATAAACAAGGATTCTATGTTGCATACCTCTGGGTTAGTTTAGTGATGCTTTGTTGATCCTGGATTTTATCCCAAAGGGGCAAGGTAAAACATATGCATGATTAATAGTAGCCTACTAGCATTCCAGTGCAAGAAAAAAACAACGAATTAATTGAGATTTGCTACTTTGCCACTAATAAACAGTTGGTGTCCACTATATGAATGAATACATAGACTTCTTAGTATAAACTGTATTTAGAAGCTTCAGAATATGGGACAGCTTATCCTTTCCTCTGCTCAAAGCTTCATGCACAGCATGATGCAGCGACATTTTTTGATCAGTGGCTTTGAAGTAATAAAATGTAGCCTTGTTCTGTACACTTTTATATATCTGTTATAAAACCTTAATCTGTTGATTTCCCATCCCCACAAAATTGTTCACGTGACTCATAATTTTGGTTAATATTGAATAGAAGTTGGTTCTTGGAATACACTAAAACATTATAAGATTCTGCTTTCTCAAAATGGCTGTGGAGGTAGGTTTTTAAAATAGTATCTTCATGGAGACAAATATATTTGTTATTTAGTGTGCAATGGAAAAACCACATCATCAAAGGCTCATGAAGACTATTGCATGTCATGCGACTTTTGCGTTAGTGACTATAGAAAAGCTGGCAAGCCACCCTGAAGGACATCATAAGACCCCTTTGGTGTGGCAATCCATTATTTGAAACACGGAGTCCATTCAGTTGGAAGAATTAATAAAGAATTTCCACAGGGTCCACTTCATGTGTTTTACCAGGCAACATACCATTGCAAGAATTAGCAACTAGTCTTCCTCTCACCAGAAATTAGGAACACTTTATTTTGAGAGCAAATCAGTTCTCCTTGGTTAGCAGAATTCAGGCTTGTTCTTACTACTTCACATTCTGCAGACCACATTGGCCTTCAAATGATGGATCTCTTTGATCTGTTTTCTTTGGAGTCACTGAAATACAATACAATCCTCCAGCCATTTTAAGATGAAGCAATAGAAAGAGTCAGGACTTTGCTTGTTTAATTGGTAGGCATTTCCTTGTAAACTAATTTAGTAATGTTCCACTAAGGTTATGAAGAAAACAGGCTTGTTTAACTATTTCTGTTGGCTTGCTTGGATTTCACTTCAGTGTTATTTTTTAGGAATATAAATGACTTGAGCCATAGCTTCTCAGTGGTGTGAAGAAACTAAAGGTGAAGCCACTACATCCTCTTGTACCTTCCATATAGATTTAAGAAGGGGAGGGATGCATGGAAACTATGTATTTAGTCTCTGAACAGAAAAGTACATTTCAAATTTGGGTTGCTGTGAGTTTTCCGGGCTTTATGGAGATGTTCCAGAAGCATTCTCTCCTGACATCAGGAGAGAATGCTTCTGGAACATGGCCATACAGTCCGGAAAACTCACAGCAACCCAGCCATGAAAGCCTTTGACAACATATCTGTGTCTTTGTTTTTCTAATGTAGACTTATATTGATATCTGAATAATCAGAGAATGATAGAATAATAGAGCTGGAAGAGACCACATGGGCCATCTTGTCCAATCCCCTGCCATGCAGAAAAAGCACAATCTAAGAGAGTCCCCTTTGGGGGAGATAAAGTGGGGTATACACTAAATAAATATACATAATAATGGCCATCCAGCCTGTTTAAAAGTTTCCAAGGAAGGAGCTTCCACCACACTCCAAGGCAGAGAGTTCTACTGCTGAATAGCTCTTACAGTCAGGAAGTTATTCCTAATGTTCAAGAGGAATCTCCTTTCCTGTAATTTGAACCCACTGCTCTCAGTCCTAGTTTCCAGAGCAGCAAAAAACAAGCCTGCTCCCTCTTCTTTATGGAATCCTTTCACTTATTTTTAAATGGCTAACATGTCTCCTCCCAACCTTCTTGAGTGCAAAAGTGAGTGATGCATAGAACTCAGAAGGAACTTCCGTCTAAAATGAGTTATTTCCTGCTGTATGTTTTGCATTTTTTTCCTGACTTACAATTCCTGTAAATGCATCACATACATATTTAAAGAATTCTTACAACACTGTAAATAATGTGGTATGGGGACTGGAAAATAGTAGCTTTCTTTGGACCACCTGGGAAGTTCTTGATTGAATGTGGAACATCCTGGGGATCTTACGCTTGTAGATTCATTGTTCTGTACTGGCTGTTTTGAAAGGCATTTGTTTTTAAGTTTTTACATTTTTGCTGTCTTTGTGAAGTTCTGTGCAACAGGAGTTGGTCCAGAATTTCTTTTACAATGTGGCTAAATTATAATGATGTAGAGCAGGGGTTCTCCAACTTTTTCAGCCGCAGAGCCTTTTTTGAAGTAAAAGATTATTGTGGAGCCCCAAGACATGTTCATGTGTAATGTTATATATTATTTATAATGGATATATATCAGGCATGGCAAACTTTTTGACTAACATAAACTGAACAGTATTTCAGTGGAAGACTCCATGGGCCATCCAGTCCAACCCCCTTCTACCATGCAGGTAGAGCACAATCAAAGCACCCCCAACAGATAGCCATCCATTCTTAACAACAACAATAGCAACAGAAACCCCAAGAACCATTCAGTCTATGCAGGAAAAGTGCAGTCTAAACACCACTTGAGTGGTGGGAGGGAAATAGGGTTTTGGAAACAATCAAGGCGAGGGAGAAAAGATCTGGCTGGTGAGAAAGGTGAGGAAAAAAGGCTTTTTGGGGAAAGAGAGGCAGGGAAAAGGGAGAAACAGGAAAGAGGAGGGAAAGTTTGGAGGGGGAGGAGGAAACTACGGAGCTCATCAGTATACTTTGTGACCCCAAGTGTTCCTCGAAGCACACTTTGAGAACCGCTGATGTAGAGGGTAGTGGATGGGCATGTGCATGTGGATTTGTAGAAGTGAACCTTGCTTTTAGCATGGCAAGTCATGATTTTTCAATTTCAGGTGTTCCCCTTTTCATTTAATGAATGAGAATAATAATGCAGTCGTATGGCTTGCGATTCATCAGATGTCCAGGAACTGTTGCTTTTGGGCGTACACCTAATTAAACTACAGAAACCTGGAGCACATTCTATCACATTGAACTGGCTCTATAACAAATTGGGAAACAGAACCCACTCTACTCATTGCTGTGTAAAGCTGTGCATATTTTTCCTAATAGTGGATTCATGAAGTGAATACTGTAAAATTATAACTGAAAAGGGGCCTGTGACAAACACAATGAAGATATTAGTTTGACCAAGGAAGCAATAAAATTTGCAGAAGTACAGTTGGGGGGGGGGGGCAGCAGAGGGCACATCTACAAACAATCCCACTATCTAAGAATGTTCAGTAGTAGCAGAATGAGGAGTAAGGAGAAAATGAATGCTATCCTTCAAGGAAATGACTGGCTTGAATCCAGAACATAGACTATTTTGTTGCAGTCCTATTTGAG